CGAACCTAAGGTATCAAATGCCACTCTACCAAAGCATGGCAAGGGATGAAAGATGGCATACAAACATGTAATCTCCAGCACTGAAACATGATGCTAAATGATCCCGAAACATGGAAATATGGCACCCGATGCATGAAATATGCCCCAAAACTCAAAGCTAGGCACATGTATTGAATTATAACTATGCAAAGCAAGCATTATTTGGCCATGAAGTACAAAGACAGAGCCAAGGCAGTCCCAAAACATGCACATTTCTAGTTTAAAGCATGGCCAAAAAGTGCTAACATGATGGACTAAAATAGCATGCAAATTTGGCTAGCAAGCATGGTTTACATGGCATGTATATGAAGCGTATGAGAACTCATCAAATCAGGCAAAAACAGTGAATAAAACATGACAAAATATGCTCAAATAACCACTGAAATGCAGCCAACATGTGCGAAAATGATGAGCTCCTTTGAAAGGGCATGCAAGGGGTTACTCAACACATATATGATGGACACTTAGCATAGAAAAACCAACTCTGGAAATCAAATATGATAGCCCTAAAACTCACCAAAAAGGGCCTGAAATTGATCAATAAAGCATACAATGAAAGGTCCTCTTGAAAGGCCTTGAGGAGGGTTGTTCCACACATGCATGAGGGATATAAAATGTGGCCAAAAGGGCCTTGGACAGAGCTAAGACAGACCTTAAAACCCTCAGAATGAGGCCTGGAACATGACTTCAAAGCATGCAAAAAGGGGTCCTTTTGGAAGGCCAACAAGACCACGAAACAAGACAAGGAGAGAGGGGGGCACTCCCCTCTGATTTTGGCTCTCAAAAATGCATCTAAGCCACTGAAAATCCATTGGATTTCAGTGTCTAAGAGGCCAAACCATGGCCAATGCAAGTGCTCTAATGCATAGCCCTAATCATGAAGAGATGAAGCACGCACAGGGGGGATATGACCACAAACAGAGAAAGTATCTTAAACAAACATGTTTATAAGCTCAAAAGGAAACTTTTTAAGTTTACGACAAATCTCGAAAATGCTCACAAGTAGGACTAAGATATGATGCAAAATAAGCCTACAAAGAAGGATAAAGCATACAAGGATGTAGGAGACCTCAAACAAAAAAGTGTCCTTAATAAATATTCAAGAGGAGCTCAAAATATGACACTTCTTAGTTTATGACAAAGTCTAGAAATACTTGCAAGTAAGGCTAATCAATAGAGAAAAAAAATGCAAGTTTAAGGGAAATAGGTGCTTACCCTTGAAGAGCAGCAAAGCTGGAGCTTTTGGACCAAGTTGGTGAACCTTCAACCCTTGCAAATCAGTCCTAAAGTTCTGGAATGGATGGAGGAGGTGTGGTGCTAAGGGTTGTAGTGCAAATGGTCCAAGAAAACTAGGGTTTGGAGGCTCAAGTGTAGAGATATAGAGAGAGAGAGAGTTGTAAGCCTTTAAAGTTGTTCAGCCCCTCAAATGGAAGAGGAGGGTCTCTCTTATAGAGGAGAGATGCCAAAGCTTCTCTTGGAAGCCTCAAAGATCCTCCATACACGTGTATGGAAGATGGTCCAAATGCCTTCCAGCTGGCACAGCTGGATTGCATTCAGGGAGAGGAAAAAGCAAGAAGCAGGCCGACCAGGGGTCAAAAGGGTCAAGAAGAAATGCTGGCCGGCCACCCCAGAAAGGTGGCCTCCCAAATTAGTGCAACACAGCTGTATGGTGGAAAACCAAAAAAAGTGACCCAAGAGAAAGAAAAACCAGCTTTTTAGCAAGGTTCAAAAGGGTCAAGATGAATTACTGGTCGGCCAACCCATATTGGTGGCCTCCCAGATGAGCACAACAC